GCCTTGAGGTCTGGAGGTTTCATCTTCTGTAACTAATTCTTTATTTGGTTTTTTTCTCGTCTTCTCTTCTTCATTCCATGGGTGATCAGGAAACTTCCTCGACGTTTCTCTAGAAGATGTTCACCAACAAAAGACTAAGTGTGGTCTTAGATGATCGTAACTTCTTGTTATGGAAGCATCAAGTGCTTCTAGCTGTGAGGAGCCATAGACTTGAGAAGTTCCTTATCGGTTCGGTCACTCATCTTTTGGCGAATGTGGCTTTAAAGGTTGAGACGGTTGTTGAGAATGAAACTTATGAAGTATTTATCGCCCAGGACAGTGCGCTTGCCTCTTGGCTCTTGTCCACGATGTCTCCCTCGATTCTACCGCACATGGTTGGTGCTGACACCGTCACATAAGTTTGGTCCACTGTTACTAAGTTCTTTGCAAACAGTTCCATGACAACGATAATGAACTTACATTATCGGTTGAAAGTTATAAAAAATGGGGAACCGAGTATGCGTAACTTCATCTGCCAGGTTAAAGAACTGTGTGATGATTTTGCGGCTTGTGGAAGCCTGGTGTCAAAGTATGAACAAGTGGCAAAAATTTTGAATGGGTTGCCGTCCGAATATCGTCCGTTTATTGCCATTATCACTTCCAGCAGGGAGTCGTTCACTTCAGATGGAGTTGTTTCATTTCTGGTTGATGTAGAGGTTCAACAGCGTGGTTTTGAGGAAGCTGACAATTTCTCTATCAATGCTAATATGAAAAAATTGACGATTAATGATTATTTAGGGTTGGGGATGGTTAAAGCATCTAGGCATAATATGGGTTCATCTGGTTCGTATCAGGGAGGTCATGGTCGTGGTAAGCCTCGGGTTCAATGCCAATTGTGTGGAAAGGTTAGTCACTTAGTGGACTGGTGCTGGTATCGGTTTGACCAAAGCTTTCGTGGGATTTATGCTACTCACAAGGCCTCGACACCTGCCAATCCTCTGTTTGCTAACGTGTTCACGGTTGCTTTTAATCATGGGTATGGTTGTGTTCACCAAGGGTCTTGGGATGGTACTGTTTTTGCTATAACAGCTGAATGTGGACAATAATCTAACCCTAGAGGTTCTGTGAGCTCTCGCTCATCCGGGAAATGGTTTGTAGATTCCGGTTTTCTCATCATGTGACCTTGTATGCGGCTAATGTTGTTGAGGGTGAAGAGTATACTGGCACAGGTAAACTCCTCGTGGGTAATAATTATAGTTTATCAATTTCTAAGGTTGGTCAATCTAGCTTGCTTACTTTTACTCGCTCTTTACGATTAAATAACTTGCTCATTGTTCCTCGTATATCCAAAAACTAGGTTTTCGTCTCCAAACTTGCTCGTGATAATAAGGCGTTTCTTGAATTTCATGCTCGTAGATGCATGATTCGTGACAAGGACACAAAGGCGGTATTACTTGAAGGTTGAGAGAAAAATGGAATTTATGAATTTAATTCTACTTTGTTTCATAATAATGTGCCTGCTCAGTGTAATGTTGTTTATGGAGTAGTTGATTTTGGTTAATGGCATAGACAATTAGGCCACCCTTCCCGTGATACGTCACAACAAGTCTATAAAGATTGTAATTTTGGTTTATCGTTGGTTAATGATGAAATTTGCACTGCTTACCATGCTGGGAAATCTCACTCTTTACCTTTTTATGCTTCTCAAAAAGTATATAGTGAACAATTTCAGTTGGTTTATGTCGACCTATGGGGACAACCTCATGTGATCTCAAATGGATATCGGTATTATATATCCTTTGTCGATGCCCATTCGCGGTTTACGTGGGTGTATCTATTAAAAGAGAAATCTCAAGCATTATATGCATTTTGCTTGTTTCAATGCATGGTTCATGTTCAATTTGGCCAAGAGCTTAAAGCAGTTCAAAGTGATTGGGGTGGTGAATTTCGTCCGTATACCAAGGCTCTTCAAGAGGACGGGGTACGACGCCAGCTCACGTGTCCTCACACGTCTCAACAAAATGATGTTGTTGAGTGAAAATACCGACATATCGTTGATACAACTCTAAAATTGCTTGCCCATGCTTCATTACCCTTGAAATATTGGTCTTATATCGTAACCATTACGGTGTACCTCATTAATCGGTTACCTACGAAGGTGCTTCTCGTGTCATTACCGTTTAACAAACTGTTTGGTCGTCGCCCCAAGTATGAGCATTTACGTGTGTTTGGTTGTAGATGTTTTCCATATCTTCTTTCGTTTCAATCTCACAAATTTGATTATCGCTCACAGGCTTGTACTTTTCTTGGCTATAGTGTTCAATATGAGGGTTATCTTTGTCTTACACCTGGAGGTCAAATATATACTTCTCGGCATGTGCAGTTTGATGAGAATGTTTTCCCATTTGTAAGTCAAGCTGTTGCCACTTATCATTCTCCTATAAATGTTTTCCAACCGTCTGCCACAATTGATGTAGTGCATGACATCAATAGGGTGTTAAGTATTCAAACAATCACACCGTGCTTAACGTCACACCATAGTGAAACTGAGTCGTCTCATTCTCGTACTAGTAGCTTATACCATAGAGTGTTCGCTCCGATGACTTCTGCTGAAGTTGCGTCCGATGATAATATGGACGAATCCATGAGTCACACAGTATAATTCCAAACAAACTAACGATCTGATATCTTCTGTTGAAGTTGCGTCCGGTGATAATATGGATGGATCCATGAGACATACAGTCTCTCCTCGATGAATTGACGTTTCTGGTGGTTTGCATGTTCCTGTTCACTCCACTGTTGCTGCTTATTCATCTCCTCAAATGACTTCCCCCAATAATTCGAATATGGTTGCTACAACTATTATTCCTGGTATCTTTTCTCATCATTCTTCTTCAAATATTCATTTTATGGTTACGAGAAGCAACGCTGGGATCTTTAAACCCAAAGCCTTCTCGGTTTAAGCTGTTCTTGATGGTGAAGAACCGAATTCTATTAAACAAGCTTTGCTTTCCCCTATGTGGAAAGATGCTGTCATGGCTGATTATAATGCTCTAATTGATAAGGGTGCATAGTAGTTAGTGTCACTATCTCCTGGTCGAACGGCAATCGGATGTAAGTGGTTGTTTTGAATCGAGAAAAATGTTCATAGGTCTGTTTTAAGGTATAAGGCTTGTTTAGTGGCAATAGGTTTCACTCAAGTTCCAGGACAAGACTTTAATGATACGTTCTGCCCAGTTATCAAACCCTCCACAGTAAAGGTTACCTTGTCTTTAGCTGTCATGAATGTGTGGAAATTGCGACAGGTTGACATGAATAATGCATTCCTCAATGGGGACTTACGTGAGGAGGGGTTCATGGTGCAGCCTCCCAGGTTTGAACAGCTTGCTGCTGATGGATTATGACTTATTTGCAAACTTGAAAAGGCATTGTATGGACTTAAGCAAACACCACGAAGTTGGTATATGAAATTATGTACTTTTCTTGGTCAAATTAGGTTTCATGAGACATAAGCTGAAGCCTCCTTGTTCATTCGCCGCTTAGGGAAGTATTTCACCTATGTTCTCGTTTATGTCGATGATATCATTATTACGGGGCAAGATGAGACTGAAGTTGAAAGCGTTGTATCACAATTGAGTCAAAAATTCTCTCTAAAAGATTTGGGGGACTTAAACTATTTTTTGGGACTTGAAGTTCAGTGGACTACTCATTCTCTTATTTTACTAAAAATAAGTTTATTCTTGAGTTATTAGAACGAACTGGCATGTGTGATGCTCATCCAGTTCCAACATCGATGGTCGTTTCTCCGAAGCTTAGTAAATATGGAGGGAGCCCATTACAATATGTTCAATTATATAGTAGCGTTGTTGGAGCTCTTCTATATTTAAATCACACACGACCCGACATTGCATATAGTGTCAACCGTGTAGCTCAATACATGCATGCGCCTTGTACTCAACACTGGGTGGCCGTGAAAAGCATCTTGCATTTACTTGTGTGGGACACTTGATTATGGTTTAGTATTTCAAAAGGCTGGATTGGGTCTTCACTTGGAAGCTTTTGCGGATGTCGATTGGGCAAGCAATGTCGATGATTGTCGTTCGATATCCAGGTACTGTGTCTTTCTTGGAGGTAATCTCGTGTCTTGGAGTTCCAAGCATCAACGGTCAGTCTCTCGGTCGACTACTGAGGATGAATACCGTGCGTTAGCTGATGTTGTGGCCAATGTTGTTTGGATTCAAGCCTTGTTGACAGATATGGGGATTTCGACCTCAAGCACTACCGATATTTAGAGTGATAATGCGAGTGCGATAGCGATGAGTGCCAATCCTGTTTTGCATTCCCGGTCAAAACATGTTGAATTAGACCTTCATTTCATTCGAGAGAAGTTTGCTGCTGATAGTGTTCATGTCAATTATATTCCCACTCGATATCAAAAAGCAGATGGATTCACTAAGTCTTTGTCTGGGGCTATTTTTCTTTGTTTCGCTGCAATCTCAATGTCTATTGTGAAGTTCTGGAGTCCATAGACACTAGAGAGAATATTAACTATTACGTGAATAGTAAATAAGTTGTTATTTGGCTGTTAGGGAGAATATGCTAGCAAGGCAAGTCTAGGATAACTGCATAAGAATGTTGTAGCAAGTTCTGTAAAAACCATATATATGGGGCTCTCGGGAAATGAAGAAAACAAGGCATTTGTAATAATCAAAAGAATTCAATATCGACACATGGGAAATCTTGACGGAAAAAACAAGAGAGAAATAAGTTAAATCTTGAATTTCTATCAGATTTTACAGTTCAACATTTTCGTCGCTTATGATCATTGAATTACGAACCTAACAAATCCATTGAAATTAGAGAAAAAATTTTGGAATCTTGGATACCATCGTCGCAGCAATTTAACCCCACGTGTCCTCTTTTCCAACGTTAACAATATCGAATTCAAACACCAAGATTGACACGTAGGTAAAAAGTTTTTTTTCTTTCACAAAAAAATAAATATAGCTTAACCACCACATGTTTAGTCTTAACTTTATGTCGAATACCCTATAAATATCTGCTCTCATAATCTTCTCAACCTTCCACCACAGCTCCTACACCAAGAAAAACATGTTCTTTCTCTTGAAATCTTTGTCGAGATCAGTCCACGATGAAGAACACCAACACCAGCCGGAGTTGTCTGAGACCCAAGGCGGCAGCGGCGGCGGTACTGGTACCGGCGGTGATATTTGCACATCACTAACGGTGTGGAGAAAATCATTGTTGGTTAGCTGTAGTGGATTCACAGTGATTGATTGTACTGGAAATCTAGTTTATCGAGTTGATAATTACATGGGAAAACGCCCCAAGGAAGTCACTCTAATGGACGCCAAAGGGACATCCATTCTAACAGTGAAGCGTTGCAAGGTAACCATCAATCTTTACATAACTCTCTATGAACCATAGTAGTAAGACACAATATTAAAATTAGCTCATAACGTTTGTCAAAATAATCATTTTGATTCGTATTCTTTTTATAGAACATTTTGTTCTATATCTTTTTATTTTGAAAAGAAGTCTTCTATGAATAAAAATCATTAGCTAATAAAAGGTTAACGTTCTAAAATATGGGTTAATTTCTGGTTTTCATGGCAGAATCTTGGACTAACACATAACTGGGTTATCTACCGAGGGGAAGTGGGTGATTACTGCACATCAGTTGCATCGGAAAAGCCAATTTTCTATGCGAGGAAGTGCATTCACATTTTGCATACCAACCCTAATGTGCTAGCATACGTATATCGCCGGTCGTCGGACAAAAGGCACGCGTACACGATCGAAGGATCGTATTCGAATCGATCGTGCAAAGTGGTAGACGAGAAGAAGAGAGTGGTTGCAGAGATCAAGAGAAAAGCTGCAATGAGTGGAGGTGTTTCTTTCGGCCTAGATGTTTTTATGTTGATTGTAAAGGCAGGATTTGATCCTGCATTTGCCATGGCTCTGGTCCTTTTGCTTGATCAAATGTTCTCTTAGATTTTGGAGGTGTAGCATCAATTACCATGTAAATACACGTAAAGTTTATATCTAATAGAATGCAATGCTTTCATTTCCATGCTTATTTTTCCAGGAAATTTTCTTGTAGCGGCTAATTTACTCGAACAATTTAGAGATCTGAACCCATTTTTCAACAGTATTTCATTGCATATTCCAATGTTTGCAAATTTTCAACAACACGTGTTTCGAGAGTTTCTTCCACGAAAATTGTGCAAGTTTGTTGAACCAACAAGCCTAGCTATTTTTCTGGCTTTTACTTGGTCAAATTTTTCTACTTTGAGTCACACGGTTGTTTGTAAATTGTGCCAAATTTGATTCGTCGAATAGGGAGAGATACTATATCTTTTTAAGTAAGATTATAATTTCGAATTCCGAGGTTTGGAGCAAATTGGATTGAAATGGTTATGTTTATAATAAACCCCTGTAAAATTAAATTCGAAATAATCAATCAATAGTTTGGATATGGTTAAAAACAAACAAAAAATTGTTTTCAACCCCACTTCACAGATATTTCAGATAGTTATGATTTTAGTTAAATTCAAAATTAATTCTTTCAGAACAAACAATAACATAACAAGTTCAACGAAAACAATCAGGCCAAGAACACAAGCCCATGTTTAAAAGAATTTAATGAAATAATAAGCCCAAACTAATTTTTAAAACCAACATGGGTAAATTACAAATTTCCTCACTAAACGATACTCTCTTATTTTTTTCATTAAACTTTAAAAGTTTTCAATTTCCTCACTGAGCTTAATACACTGAGTCTTTTTGGTTAGTGAAATTTACTCTCTCTCTTATTTTGGTCACTCGATCACTAAATAGTTATCGACGTTAAAAACGACACCATTTTTTTTAAAAAAATTCTCACCAAAACAATGTCGTTTTGCATCTACGTAACAATCCATTTTAACACCGTTAATTATTTAACGGTTGAATGAAAAAAAAATCTAATTCATTAAGTTCATTGAGAAAATTATAACGTTTAGTTATCAAATTTGTAATTTACCCTGACAACATTCAAATATAAACAAGCGCAAATTAGATTCACATTCGTCCCGAACATCAATGTATCCCAACCTTACATATTTTCTCATGTTAATTCAGTCCAAACAAAAACTTATATGTTTCGGTGGTACTCATAATAATTTTACGTTTAAATTAATAAATTATAGGATAAACTACATGAATAGTACCTTATGTTTTTGGTTCATTCGATTTCAGTCATAAATTAAAATAATGGTTTTAACCCTTACGTTATCGGTCTGTTAAGTTTTAAAAAAATAAAATAAAAGCCACTTCTTCTTCTTATTGGCCCTTATAAAGCGATAAAAACCACATGTTTTCTTCTCCTCCTTGTTTCTTTACCAAACTGTAGTTTCATAAGTCGAGAGAGGTTCGAGAAATGAAGAAATCGCTAAAGAAGATAAAAATGGGTCTTATCAAAGAGAGAGAAAAAGAGTCTTATGTCCATCCTAATTTCAATATTCTTAAATTTTAATATTTTATAATATTATCTCATTGTAAAATATTTTGAAAGTTTCATTTTAATAAAATAACACAAGGTCCACATATATATATTTTGGGACAGACTGATTTGGATGTTTGAAATAAGAACATTATGTTATGTGAAATTAAGAGTTCATATGGTTTTAGAAAACATTTTTTCTTTTTTTCTTTTTTGAAAATGGTTTTCATTTTCAGTTTTTTAAAAATTAGAAAATATGTTTGGTTAATATATATGAAAAATTAAATTCAATTGTTCTAAAATATGCATTTAGAGATGGGGCACGTTTACGGTTTTCTCTGGTTGCACGTTAGCAGGGCTAATGGAATCTGAGAACTCCGTCGTGATTCTGGTGGTTTCGATCGATCTTACTTCTAGTAGTCACATCCGTGCAATTTCTCTTCATTATGAGTGAATGTTCGATGGATTGGAGGAAGCTTTTTGGGTGTTCAGTAGGGCAAGACTTAGAGTTCTTTCCCCTGAAGATTCGTGATGGGATTCCGACGGTTCAATCTCCACCTGAGGTTTTTGAAGCTGAAATTTTAGAATGGAAGCTTTCATTAGTGGGGCAATTCCTTGGGGCTGCTCCAAATTTTACAACAATGCAAAGGTTAGTGGATAATCTGTGGAAGAAGGCATTGATGGGTAATCGAGTTCAGATGAGTTTAACAGGGAGTAATCTTTATGTTTTTTTTCTTTTATTTATGAATCTGCTAGAGATTGGGTTTTAGAAAGCTGACCATGGCACATCCAAAATAAATATCTGATTCTTAGGAAATGGGAACCAAACTTGAAAAGATTAAACTTTAATTTATCAAGAATTACAGTTTGGGTTCATCTCTATAATGTGCCTTTAGAACTCTTCTCGCAAGCTGGATTAAGCTACATAGCGAGTGCCATAGGAGTACCCCTCTCAATGGACTCTGTTACAGCATCCAAATCGCGATTAGAATATGCTAAAATCTGCATTGAAATAGGGGTGAATGATGAAATACCTAAATATATGGATGTTATTCTAAAGGATGGGTTAGCTACTTCAATTACGGTTGAGGTTCCCTGGCTGCCATCTTACTGTAGGAAATGTAAAGTTTTTGGGCATAATGAGAAGGGATGTATGGAGCTAAAACATTATGCGCTGGTTATAACACAGGTTTGGAAAAAGAAAGAAGAAATTTCGAGTGCTAATGCAGTGGCTCCAATAGTTGACAGCATAGAGGTCCTACAGGAAAAGGAGTTACATGTTCCTATAGCAATAGAGGAGGAAAGTATAATAGAAGCTGAGATAGAAACAAGAAGTAAAGAATTTGTTACAGAGTCAACGGATTCTGCTGCTGAGGGTGAGCAAATAAATCTTGAATCTACATTATCAACAGTTAATGGTAAAGATGCAAATCAACCATCTATTCCTAAATGGGGTAGTGGTAGGCCAGTAAAGGATCATTCAAAAGCAGCTTTAGCTGGATCAAAGAACAAATTTAAAGTTTTAAGTTCTATTGATGAAATATCTACTTCTATTGATGGTTAACTAAGGAAAGTTAGAGTTGCATCATTAGGAGTTGTTGGTTTAGTAAATGAGCTAAAAGCGAATAAGAAGAATCAATTAGATAAAGCAAAAAGTGTTGCAGTAGGAGGTAATGAGGGTGTTCTAGGCTCTCCTTCTCAATGATAATCAACTTTTGGAACGTTAGAGGTTTAAATAGTCCTCTAAAACAAGATAGAGTAGTGCAAAGATCTAATCAGAATAAAGTTGATGTTTTTTTTTGTAGGAGACTCGAGTTAAAGTTGATAAATCTATGGGTATTCTCGAGAGTAAGTTTAATAGTTGGAATGTTCGTTCAAATTATGATTTTTCCTTGAATGGAAGGATATGGATTCTTTGGAAGAAAGGTTTGGATTTTCAATCTATCATGTTTCAGATTAGAGCATTTCTGAAAAGGTTTTACCTCTGTGTTCTCTTGACTATTACAGCTGTTTGTAGTAGCAATGATGGTATTGTGCGAAGATAGCTTTGGCAGCAGCTGCGAGAATTGGAAAGCAAAATAGGTCAATCCCCTTGGATCCTGGAAGGGGACTTCAATGTTATTCTAAACTCGAATGAAAGTTCGGATTACGAACTATTGGGACCCCATACAACTTCTGATATTAAAGATTTTCAAGATGTTCTCTATGACTTAGATCTTCTTGACCACCCATTCATTGGTCCTTCTTTCACTTGGAGCAACAAATAACTTGATTCGTTCCTCACTAGGAAACTCGACAGGGTTTTAATTAATTCCATGTGGGTGAGTACCTTTCAGAATTCACATGTCGAATTTCTTGCACCTCGTATTTCTGACCATTGTTTGGTTTTGGCCTGGCTCTCTAAAGAGGTTCCTGCTAATTGTCCAAAGCCTTTCAAATTACTTAGCTTTTGGAATAAGCATCCTAAATTCTTGAGTGTGGTAAGACAGTCTTGGCAAAGTGCTACTCAAGGCAACCCTATCCAAAACCTCTTCCTTAAGCTAAAATGACTTAAAGCCAATTTAAAGAGTTTGAATAAAACTTTTTATAGTGACATCTTAGCCCGGGTATAGCATAATAAGATTGAGTTGGAGCAGCAACAACTTTTAACTTTAAGAGGAGCGGATATCGTTGTCAAGGAGCTTCAATTACAAAATGAGTTAAAAATACTTGAAGAGGCATAGCCTATGTTCTTAAAGCAAAAGGCAAAGGTGCAGTGGTTAAAGGAGGGAGATAAATGCTCTAATTTTTTCCATTCAGCAGTTGCTGTTAAAAACAAAAGGGATACAATCAGGGTCCTTGTTTATGACCAAGGAAAGAGATTAGAATCTTTCGATGCTATGGCTTCTGAGGTGGCTGAATTCTTCACTAGACTGATTGGTACTACGGATCCTGGGGTTAAAGGTTATGATCTTAATCTTTTGAAAGAATTTCTTCATTATTCATTGCATGTTGAAGCTTCTACTGGCATTGTTAAGGAAATTACGAGGGATGAGATCCAGGATGCCATTTTTTGTCAAGGAAATGAAAAAGCTCCAGGTCCTGATGGTTTCACCCCTTATTTTTTTTTTAAAAAAAACATGGTCTATTATTGGTGATGATGTGGTAGCTGCTAAAAAAAATTCTTTCAAGAGTATTTTCTGCTGCCAGCATTCAATGCAACTGCTATTTCCTTGGTGCCTAAGGTTCCAAATCCAAGTAAGGTAAAAGGTTTTAGGCCCATTTCATGTTGTTCTGTGCTGTACAAGGCAATTTCAAAGATTTTGGTCAAAATATTGACAAGTCTTATCCTAGAAATTATCACTTTAAATCAGACAACTTTTATTAAAGGAAGGAATATTGTTGACAACACCCTTCTTGCACATGAACTGGTTAAAGGATATGGTAGGAAGTCTATTTCCCCAATGTGTTCTTTGAAAATTGACCTCCATAAGGCTTTCGACTCCCTTCATTGGGGATTCATTTATGATGTTCTGAATATTATAAGGCTACCAAGAAATT